CTATTATAATCCCCATTTTAGATTATTAATTAGGCACAGAGAGGTTAAGTAATTTGCCCAAGATCGTATAGCAAACTTTTTGGAACCAGGATTCTAGTCCAGGTCTGTCTGCCTGCAAAGCCTGCCATGCTAAGTACTCCCCAGGTGACACTGAGGAAATTCCTGCCACTCCTTTCACCTGCCTTCCCAGGATCACACACCCAGGAAGCCATGGAGTAGTTGGCCAATTTTAAATCATTTTTTCCTTGCACTGATCTCTTACATCTGTTTATATTTCCTTATTTCCACCTTTATGGGAAAACGTGTGGAACAAATACGTAAAAGATCTTAAAAGTGTATGAATCCTAGACTTTTCCTACTACACCAGATTTATCACACACACACAAAGACATAAAACGAAAATGTATCAAGGACTTTTATAAAAGCCATCCAGTGGAGGTTGTTAATTGTGAAGACATTAGGAAATGTCTGATGTTACTTTGGGCAAGTGACAGAGCCAATGTGATATGTCACATGTCCCTCCAATTACCTCACCCTGCTTCAAAAGTAACATGGTGGTGGGGTGCCTGGATGGTTCAGTCAGTTGAGCATCTGACTTCGGCTCAGGTCATGATCTCATGGTTCATGAGTTTGAACCCCGCATTGGACTCTGTGCTGAATCAGACACAGAATCAGACACAGCTTCCGATTCTGTGTCTCCGTCTCTCTCTGCCCCTCCACCGCTTGTGCTCTTTCTCTCTGTCTCAAAAACAAATAAATATTGGGGGAAAAAAAAGTAACATGGTGGAGAAGGCCCAGACATCCAAGTGAAAAGTGTTCAATGGGAGCTGGACACACCAGAAAAAAACCTGATGAAATCAGAATAAAGTCTACAGTTTAGTTATACTATTTCACAACTGTACCAATGTCAAGTTTTTGGGTTTGAAAATGTGCTATGATTAAGATATTATCACTAGGGGAAGCTGGGTGATGGTGCACTGGAACCCCCTGTACTGTTTTTGCAATTGCTTGTGAGTCTTAAATTATTTCAAGATAAAAAGTTTTTTAAAAAGTGAGAGTAAGGCTTAAAGGCATGTGAACACAAAAAGAATAGAGCACTAAGAGGAGTAAGCAAGATGCAGAACTGTGTGCATAATGCCCTATGAATTATCCTCCACAAAGCATGCACACGCACATATATGTGCAGACCATCTCCAGAAAGGTAGAATCAGCAACAGCCATGAGACCCATCTAGAGAAACTGAAAGACCGGGAGACAGGTGTAAGAAAGGCATTTTAAAAAATGTGTTTATCTTATGCATACATTAGTTGTTCAGAATTAAAATGTTTCAAAATGTGATAAACCCCCAAAAGAGGCCTCAAGACCTCTCTAACCATGAACTATACATAAATAAAGGCAGGAACCACATAATAGATACTTTACAAATCTAGATAAATGTTTAAAATCTCTGTATGTCAAAACATATAATTTTCAAGGTAAAAATCAAAAACAAGGAAAATTTCTCATCCCTTAGGTCTAACTCCAGAATCGGTGTTCTGTCAATGAAAAGTTGAGGACATTATTGGTAACATTTGTAACAGTTGAAAATTAAATATCCTTAAAATATTAAGAGACGAGTAAAGCCAGAAAAAAAATAAGCCCCCCAAAACAGAAAAGTAGGTAAAGTACACACATGAATGGGCTACTCAAAAAAGAAGAAATACAGTTGGCCAATAAGTATACCAAAAAATGTCTAGTCTTGCCAATCATCAAGGAAAAGTAAATTGAAACTAAATAACATTTTCCAGCTACCACATTAGAAAATAATGAAATAATACCTTTAACCCAGAAATTCTACCCCTATGAATTTATCCTAAGAAAATTAGCATAAGTGTGGAGAAAATTTTATTTAAAGGATAAAATCTAAGGGAGAAAATTCCTAATTTCATGTTCCAAATTAAAAAAAAAAAAGGTAAGAAACAAACTGAGTGTTCAACAAGAGCTTGACCAAATAAATGTGGGCTCAGCCAGTCCATGGAATAAAATGTCCTCACTGAAACAGTGATCAGACCTGTATTTATTGACATGCAAACACAGCCATAGCATTGCTAAATGAGGAAAGCAGAGTGTATAACAATATGTGGTAGCCTATGTATAACAATATGTATGATGTCCCAACTTGGGGATATGTGCATGTGATTCTTGCCTTTGCTACATGGAAATATATCTAGAAAGCTCTTAAAGGAACTCCTCCAAAATGCTAACAGTAGCTCTCTTTGGACAGTACAACCGCAGAACTTTTTCTTTTGCTCATCACCACGTTCTCTTTGTTTCTATCACATGTGTGAATTGTGTGTGAATTGTGTGTGTGTGTATGTGTGCATATGTGCATCTGAAAAAAATTTTAAAATAAAGGGAAAACTAAGGCACATTCAGTCTATAAAGATGAAAGTTGAAATAGGAGCAAACGTTGAAAATCAATCTGACAGAGCTGGCTACAAGACATCTGAGGAGAACTGCTCATTTTGTTTTCTTTCCTCCTCACCCCTGTTCACAACATCCTTTTCCCATCACTCAGGCTCCTGGGGTTGCGGGGGGTGGGGCGGTGTGGTGTATGAGGGGTTGGGGAGAAGAATAACCTTCCTGCCAGCACCTTATCAGTGGTGGATGAGCTCTTTCTAACTATGGCACTGAGTGACAATGTCAGGATCTTTCTCCTGCTCTGGAATATGTGTATTAACCCTGGTGTCATCCTATCCTGCGAGGCTGCTCCGTGCCAGGCACTGTGCCAGTCATTGGGAAATTTACAGAAACCATCCTTGTGCATTTCACTTCCCATAGATACCTCTATTTCCCCTGGGTATTAGAAATTAAATAATTATTCTTGCTATTCTGTTATGTGTAGAGGTTACTTTTAGGCAAGCAGGCTTGAGGGATGGAATGTAGAAAGGGCCCACAGCGACCACCACCAGGCTGAATACAGACAAGCCCATCAGGTGACCCACCTCAAAATGTCCATAAACTCTAACTGACCAATGGGCTGCTTACTACCAGGCTTAGTTACCAAAAAAGGGAGAATTCCAAAAAAGGGAGAATGGAAGAATGCCATACCTCCTCATCTTCCCTCTTTAAAAATTTTCCCTCTTTAAAAAAATTTTTTAATGTTTATTTACTTTTGAGAGGGGGAGGGGGTAGAGGCAGAGAGAGGTGGAAGCACCGAATCTGAAGCAGGCTCCAGGCTCTGACTTGTCAGCACAGAGCCCCATGAACCACGAGATCATGACCTGAGTCAAAGTCAGGCACTTAACCAAGTGAGCCACCCAAGTACCCTTCATCTTCCCTCTTTAAAAGCTGCCCCTTCCCACTGCCTCCTTGCAGGCAGCCTCTCCTCGGCTGTCCTGCCTGCAGCGCCCTTGTGGTGTATTCAATAAATTCCTATCTCCTTTGTTCTGCCTCAGACGAAGTCTTTCACCAGTTTCACCAGATCCATCATGGACCCACATTTGGGGGCCCCATCCAATTGGACAGACACCCCATATGGTTCAATTTTATCAATGTGTTTACATTTCTTGTGTTATCTGTAAGTTGAACTTTTTCATGTTTTTGGTCGTCATTTCTGTTTGGGTCCATGTGTGTGTGTGAATTGCCGCTTTATTTCCTTTGCCATCTTTCTGCTAGGATGTTTTTCTTTTTTCCCACTGATATACAGAAAGTCTTCATATAACAAAATTGTTCTCCAAATTTGGTCATTCATTGCTTTCCAATTTTGTTTATGGACTCACAACTTTTACATATTCAAACCTATTTATTTTTCTTTTCTCCTTAGAATAAGATAAATATCTGTATTTCCTGGGTCCATTCATGATCTTATTGTGAAAAGTTAGCCTTTGAGTCCTTTTAGAATATATTTCATTGTGGGAAATAAAGTAGGAAATTAGTTTTGTTTCTTCCCAAATAGTCTACCACTTCTTCTATCAAATACCATTTATTGAATAATCATTCTGTACAGATTTCAAAGGCTAAGCTTATTTTAGTTAAACTTTAACATCTATTTATAAATACATTTTCTGGGTTTTCTATTTTTGTTCCCTATGTCTTTCTATTCTTGTATCAGTAGCACTACTTTAAGAAGCATCAGTTCATAATTAATTTTATACATTTTACAGAACAAAGACCCTCAGGCCCATCTTACTTTTAAAAAGGTTCCTGAAATTCTCATGTTAAAATTCACTTCTCTAGCTTGCCCATCTCAAAATGTTGAGAAAAGCAACTTGATACTTTTCTTTGTCTCACAGATAGAGTATCAGCCTAGATGGACTGATACATTCCTGCAGCCCTCAAGATGCCTTAATTTTCTGGGAATGAGGGCTGCCTAGGTGGCTCAGTCAGTTAAGCATCTGACTTCAGCTCAGGTCATGATCTCATGGTTCATGCGTTTGAGCCCCGTGTCAGGCTCTGTGCTGACAGCTAGGAGCCTGGACCCTGCTTTGGATTCTGTGTCTCCCTCTCTCTCTGCCCCTCCCCCACTCACACTCTGTCTCTTGCTCTCAAAAATAAATAAAAATTAAAAAAAATTTTTTTCTGGAAATGAGGTTCTTAGCCTCATGGTCTGAGAACTTTGGCTAACTCAGTTAGCGCCATCAGGTCTCCTACTGCGTTTTCTTTGTCTCTGTATCTTTGTCAGTGTTTTATCATCTTCTTGAAAGTCCCTTTACTGCCTCATTTCTATACTTTCAATTATACATACTCTGAAAAAAGCAGCTAAAAATCACTAATCCACAAGGGTTTCTTGAACCTTCTCTGTAATAAAATAGCACACTCTCATTTTTCTATGACTTGGGGCTCACATTTTAGCTCTCTCTCCAGTTTATTTTAAGTAATATGTTTAGGTCTTATTCCTCTGCTAGACTACCTGAGGGTAATCCTGAGTATTATTCCTTTGCCAGATTGCCTGAGCTCCACCTTTAAACCACCTGCCACAGTCCAGCTGGGATCCTGGTACAGGACACTTTACTCAGTGATTACCATCTGAATTCATTGGTTCTCCTTCCCACCTCTGCTTTACATTACATAACGTTCTTCTGGGCAGCCTCAGGGTTTTGGCCAACTTTGTGACTTTATGCAATGCTCAGTGCTGTGTCATACCTAATAAGAACACTCCAGGCGGTTTATCTAATGGTAAGTCCTGGCTTCTCAATGTTTATTATATTATTGCAGCCTGGTAGGTGTAACCCGTTGGCAGATGAAGGCCTTTGAGTCTACATGAGAAGGAGGGTTAGGGCAGTTAGAGAAAAAATAAAATGAGGGATTGCAATATTCCATTTATATAAGACAGTAGTTCTCAACCCTAGCTGTTTGAGAATTTTCTGGAGGGTTTTTGAAACTTACCAGTGCTCAGGCCCCATCCCAGGTAAATCAAAATCTCTGGGGTAGGAGCTACACATTAAAAAAATTTTTTTTCAATATTTATTTATTTTGAGAGAGAAAGAGAGAGAGAGAGAGAGAGAAAGCATGAGCAGGGGAGGGGCAGAGAGAGAGGGAGAGAGAATCCTAAGCCGGCTCAGCGATACCAGCACAAACCCCAACATGGGGGTGGAACTCACGAACGGTGAGATCATAACCCGAACCAAAATCAAGAGTTGGACACCTGACTCACCGAGTCCCCGAGGCGCCCCAGAGCTGCGCATTTAAAAGATTCTTCATCAACTCCTCCATGCAGCCAGGGTTGAAAACCATCAACTATTCCAAAGCAGTGCTTCTCCAACTGTAATGTGCATGCAGCCTCACTGGGAATCTCGTTACAATACAGGTTCTGTTTCTGTGGGCCTGGAGTGGGAGTGAGGGTTGGCATGTGTAATACTGCCTCAGGGGGTGCTGATGCCACTCCTCAAGCACACTGGGATCGCCAAGGATCTAAAGCAGTGGCTCTCACCCTTGGTCGAACGTTTGAATCACTTGGGGAGTTTTCTAAAACTTTGGCAGACTGGACCCCATGCTCAGAGATTCTGATCTCTTTGTTCTGGGGTGGGGCCCAGGCATAAATTTTAAAATACTCACGATGTTTCACATGTGCATTTGGGGATCAGAACCAAAGCAAAGTGGAGAAATAAGGCATTTATGCAGAGATAATCCAACAGAAATAGAACAAAACAAAAAACTTGGCCCCAGGCTCACAATAGCTGTCTGATTAAAGAGGAGGGCCTTCTTTTTTCTTGAAGTGTCTATTCTGAAAGAGGAAGGAAGGATAAACATGAAAAATGTTTCTCCAAGAAAATGTGGGATCTGATTTCATCTTGAAGACACACGTTTGACATACGGTGATCTATTGCAGTATATGTTTAAAAACATAACTTCTATTCACATTTATTTTCCATCTCCTTGCAATGTTTGCATGCTTTATAATACATATAACTTATAAACTGAAAGCATACACAGATTCAAGTGTTTGCTCAAAACCTTTTTTTACTGGTAGGTAGGGTACTTGGGGTGATAGAGAGTACCCACACTGTGGCCCTAATTTTCCTGTTTCCTCAGCAGCTATATCCATAAGAGCCACTCTCCACACCCCTCCCCTGCAATCCACCTGATGTCTTCACGCCAACCTTGGCCTATAGTGTTTCACAAGAACAGGAGCAGCTCTGATGACAGAAGCATTGGCATAAATAGCATTTTCCCAAACTTGCCTGATCACAGACTCAGCTGAGAAGCTTGATGAAATACAAATTCCTGGGGCCCATCCCAGAACCTACTGAATCAGAATCTGTAGGAGATAAGGAATCTGAAATTTAGCAAGTGCCTGGGGTGCCTGGGTGGGTGGCTGGGTCAGTTTAGTGTTTTTTGATTTTTTTGATTCTTGTCTTTTGACTTTTGATTTTGGCTCAGGTCACGCTCAGTGTGAAGCCTGCTTAAAAGCCTCTCTCTCTCTCTCTCTCTCTCTCTCTCTCTCTCTCTCACTCTCCCCCGCCATCTCCCTCACTCACATGCGCTCTCTCTCTAAAATAAAATTTAAAATAAAAAAAAAAAACCCACAAAACACAAGTGCCTCAGGGAGTCTTATGACACCACCAGTGAGTAGAGAAATAAGCACTTTAAATCAAATACTTGAGTGTGCTACAGAAGTTAAGTGTCTGGATAGTTCCAAACACATTTATTGAGTGTTCCCTATGCTAAGTGCTTAATGGAATAAGAGGGATATTGGATTGGGAGACTGACTGGCTGGCTAGCTGAAGCAGGTTCCCAGGTATTGCCTTGGTTGGGTCACTGCATATTACAGCTAATCCTTGGTTTTGTGTTTCCAGAAATTTGACGTTGTCTTTGTATCAAGTGTTAGTGTGACTCTGGAGTGTGATTGTTTTGGACTAGGTTAAGGGCTAATGACTCTCTGACATAAGAGTGCATCTCCAAAGTGGCCAATGCATCCATGTCCCCCAGATTTGGCACTCTCTCCTGCCTCCAGTGCTCCATCATCACAGCTATGCCAATATGACCCTCTTCCCAGGTTCCCACCTACCAAGTGTAGAAAAGAGTGGAGTGAGAAGAGCCTTGATGCCAGAGGAACTGAGTCTGAATCTCCATTTTCTTGTAAAGCAGCTGTGTGACCCTGATAAGTTTCTTAATCTCTTTGAGCCTGTAGAAGTTTACTTACTGTAAAATAGGGATAATCAGGTGAGTATAAATATGAAATAGCTTTTGCATATACATTAATTAGCTCAATATTTTAATGCCTTCTCTATGCTAGTTCTGTGTTCCCTGACCCTGGGTCAGTAGCTGACATTTATTTAGTCTGGGCTCAAGGTGAGCCTCCCCTCTTTCCTGCCACATTGCCTATCCCATTGGGCACATTGTTCTACATTTCTCCCTACTGTTCAGAGTCAACTCCTTTTCCCTGTAATTTTCTCACAGCCTACTGAGTTTTTCTCATGAAGTTTTTGTTTTTGTTTTTGTTTTTTTTGCTATAGCAAAATAGAGGGTGTGATTACATTTTATCTGGGAGAATTTTTTGACCTATTGTATTTTCTAGGGGAACGCTGTCCAGATCTCAAGCTGCCCAGCAGCAATCGAGCCTGAGGTAGGAGGGCCCAGGCCCAGACTGCCCTGGTCTCCCCGCCCCCCCTCCCCCCCCCCCACTGCCCAGGACCCCCACCCAGGTGCCCTGGGAAAATCTTTTTTCAGTTCTCACTTTGGTTTCTACTCTTTGGGAGAGAGTATTGAAAAGTTCTCTTTTGTTAAAATAAGTCAAGGGTCACTTTTTGGATGGAAACATCACAAAGAGCCATGGGGGCTTCTTCTGTGTACACTTTGGGGAGGGGCAATTTAAATCTGAGGTTTGTGGGTGTATTTCCAGAGGGCAGTGAACCCTAAAATTGTTTGCACCTTTGAATGTGTGGGTGGATTTTCCCAGGGAGATGGCCCCCATGTAATGGCCCACCAATCAGTCTTAAGAGTTAACTTGCTTTGGGGCGCCTGGGTGGCGCAGTCGGTTAAGCGTCCGCGTCCGACTTCAGCCAGGTCACGATCTCGCGGTCTGTGAGTTCGAGCCCCGCGTCAGGCTCTGGGCTGATGGCTCAGAGCCTGGAGCCTGTTTCCGATTCTGTGTCTCCCTCTCTCTCTCTGCCCCTCCCCCGTTCATGCTCTGTCTCTCTCTGTCCCAAAAATAAATAAACGTTGAAAAAAAAAATTAAAAAAAAAAAAAAAAAGAGTTAACTTGCTTCAAGGGGCACCTGGGTGGCTCAGTCGGTTAAGTGTCTGACTTCGGCTCAGGTCATGATCTCATGGTTCATGGGTTTGAGTCCTGCGTCGGGCTCTGTGCTGACAGCTCAGAGCCTGAAGCTTGCTGAAGTTTCTGTGACTCCCTCTCTGCTCCTCCCCAGCTCACACTCTGTTTCTCTCTCTCAAAAATAAATAAACATTTAAAAAATTTTTAAAAAAGTTAACTTGCTTCAAGCTTATGCACTGCTTGCTTGCTGACCTAAGCCCCTTGATTTGTAGCAGAACCAAACTATTTTCCTTGAGATTTTGCAGACAATTGGCTGGCCTTGAGGAATGAAGGATCAGACTTTCCCCTGAGGTAAGTCCTGACTGCACTTGAAAACAGCTGGCACTGATGGTAACATGTCTGTTCAGCATCATGTCAGTGTACGATGACCCACCTGAGCACCAGCTTCTCCTGCACATGGTGTCCCCCCTCGTGTCCTGCACCATCTCCTTTAAAACTCTCTGGCTTCGGGGCACCTGGGTGGCTCAGTCAGTTAGGTGTCCGATTCTTGGTTTCAGCTCAGGTCATGATCTCACAGTTTGTGAATTCTAGCCAAATAAATAAATAAACATTAAAAAAAAAAATCCTCTCTGGCTTCACATGGACAAGGAAGATGGTGTTTGGGATGTTAGTCCCCCATCTTCCTAGGTTGCCAGCTTTTTTTCTGTTTTTAAATTTTTCTTTTGTTATTGTTTATTTACTTTTGAGAGAGAGAGAGAGACAGAGCGCGAGCAGAGGAGGGGCAGAGAGAGAGGCAGGCACAGAATCCGAAGCAGGCTCCAGGCTCTGAGCTGTCAGCACAGAACCCAAAAGGGGGCTTCAACCCACAAACCGCAAGATCATAACCTGACCCAAAGTCGGATGTTTAACCTAATGAGCCACCCAGGCACCCTGCCAGCTTTCTAAATAAAGCAACTTGTCCTTTCCCACCGTCACTTGTCTTTTGAGTATTGATTTCAGAGCAGCAAGCCTCCAAGCTTGAATTCGGAACTGGTTTTCTGTCTGGTGACATCCAGGTTTCATCAGATTCTTTCTGAGCTCCATGATCCCTGCCTGGAGTGAGTCTTTGTTCCTGTTGGCTGAACCAGCTCCTACCTAAATGGCCTCCATGCCAGGGATGGGACAACCATTCCCTTCCCATACTCAAACATCAGTACTTCAGGCACTTCCTGAGTAGGGAGGGCAAGCAGAGTCAGGCTGGCACAAGTTGCCGGGCCCCACAGGGGCCCAGATCTGCTTCTGGACCTGTCAGAACTTACTGTTGTCCTTCTGTGCAAGCAGGATGGAATTTAGGAATGATGCCAGGGATGGTCTATGTGTTGCTAGTCCAGGTTCTATGTGTTTGGGTCTAGGTTTCTAAAGGAGGCACTTTAGAGTGACCTTAGGTTGCTGAGGGGTATCCCAGACAGTTGCAGTGTGGGTGTTTCCGTCACAGAGTTGGTCCTGGGGAGGCTGGGCATCCTATCCTTTCTAGCAGGCCTTGCTCTTGTCTCAATGACAGCCCTGTTACAACCATGCATTATGACAAAAACCAAGTGCCAGAAAATCTTCAACAAGGAGATCTGCAGCTATAAGGTGGTGGAACAGAATGATCCAGAGAGGACCTGTATTGTCCTGTAATGTAATGTGCTTCCAGTGGGCCTAGGGGTTCCAGCCTGAGAGGGCCCATGTTCTCCCAGGCCAGGCCTTGTTCTTTTTGGCCTCTAACAGTCTATGATTGTGTAACCTTATCTACCCGTAAAAAAGGTTTTGAGAAAACACTTGAATCTGTGTATACTTTTAGTTCATAAATTATGTATGCATTAGTTTATAAATTACATGTATTATAAAGCATGCAAACATTGCAAGGAGATGGAAAATATGAATAGAAGTTATGTTTTTATAACGTATACTGCAATAGATCACCGTATGTCCCCTGCTCAAGGCACCGCTGCTGCGACTGTCTGCGACTGCAGACACTTCTAATGTGTCTGCAATGTGCTGCCCTGGTATCCAGCTATCTGGTGAACAATCCAAAAAATACATGTGTCTTCAAGATGAAATCGGATCCCACATTTTCTTGGAGAAACATTTTTTATGTTTATCCTTCCTTCCTCTTCTTCAGAGAGCATGCTCCATACCGAGTCCTTCATATACCTCTGTGCTTGCTTGAGATTAGGACAGTTTTTTGCGTTTTTGTTTTTGTCTTTTTAAGTAAGCTCTAGGCCCAATATGGGGCTTGAACTCATGACCCCAAGATCAAGAGTCCCATACTTTACTAACTGAGCCAGCTAGGCACCCCGAGGTTATGGCAGTTTGGCGCAGGGCAGCCTGGGAGAAGTGCCTCCAGGACCACACACATCCTGATGGGGTATTAAAAGGCCAGGCACTCTGCTCTGTAGATGGAAATGACTTGAGTACAGAGCTGTAGTATCTTTTGCTGCATACAGACCACCCTGAAATTTAGGAACTTAAAACAGTGATACTGTAGACCATCTCTTGCTGTTTCTGTGTAAGAGAACATTTGTTTACTCAACAGGTCTTTACTTAGAGTGCCTGGGCCAGGTAATGCTCTGGGCTTGGGGCTACAGCAATGAACAAGAGAGACAAGGTCCCCGCTGCCCTGGGGCTTAGAGTCCTGTGCCTGTGTGTACGTGACAGATCACAAACAAGCAAACAGTCCTCTGTTGAACAATTTGTGGGCAGTCGGTAAAGAGCTTTATTTTTCCTCTGCCCCTTAACCCTACCTGTTTAAATATGCTATGTGGACTAGTTGAGCAATCTAGGCAGGGCCCTGAAGAGAATTTTGGTCCTAAGGTAATCAAAAAGTGTTTTGGTCACTTGTAGTTACAAAAAAAGTATAAATCCAGAGTCTGCATCTGAATTGAGGAGGGGGACAGGAGAGTTAAGGGTCAGGGACAGTCTTGGCTCCTTCTGTCTGTGGCAGTGTTTAGGGTGATTTTCTTCCTTATTGGGGCTTTTGTGGGCTGCTCCAACATGCCTTACTCCTCATTCTCCAAAGCTCCAATACAGGCTCTGACTGCCTTTTAGCTTCTGCATCTGAACCCACATTTCCCATTGCTTTCTGCTTAGATTGCCTTGCCCCTTGTCACTCTTGGGTGGGACCTACTTTGATGGTCCTTCACCTTGCTGGCAAACATGGGGAGCGGAGAGCTAAGTATTGGGGGCCTCTGTCAAAACTGACCACAGAAAGATTCCTGTATTCATATCTGGTCACAAATTAACAAAAAAGCTCTAATGTGGGTAATGCCACACTGGGCAAATTTTGAGAAGCGGTACAGGGTCGTGGGATGCGCACAGTGGTGTGATGTGGTGCAAAGAAACATACACTTTGGACTCAGATGATACGGTTTGAAATCTGACTCTGACATTTATTTATTTACTAAAATTAAAAAAATGAAGCAAAATATACAGAACATAGAAGTTACCATTTTAGGGGCGCCTGGGTGGCGCAGTCAGTTAAGCGTCCGACTTCAGCCAGGTCACGATCTCGCGGTCCGTGAGTTCGAGCCTCGCGTCAGGCTCTGGGCTGATGGCTCGGGGCCTGGAGCCTGCTTCCGATTCTGTGTCTCCCTCTCTCTGTGCCCCTCCCCTGTTCATGCTCTGTCTCTCTCTGTCCCAAAATAAATAAACGTTGAAGAGTCTGTTTAAAAAAAAAAAAAAAAAAGAAGTTACCATTTTAACCATTTTTAAGTTTACAGTCGAGTGGAATTACATACACATTGTTGTGCAGCCATCGTTAGCATTCATTCTCCAGAACTTTCCATCACCCCAAACTGAAAGTCTGCACTCATTAAACAGTAAGTCCTCTCCCCCAGCCTGTGGCAACCACCATTTCGTTTTCTGTCTCTGTAAGTTGACTGTTCAACGTATCTTATGTTGGGTGGAATCATACAAGATTTGTCCTTTTGTGTTTTGATTTATTTTTGCATCTGTTTATTAAAACTAAAATCTATCTATGAGGACATTTGATACGAGACATTAACTTAGGATCATCCTTGGCACAGAGTTTGCCCTCAACACTTTTGCTTCACTTACTCTGATTTACTCAGGAACGGTGAAAGGACACATGGACCTCCAGCGCCGGGGGCGAGTGTGCGCCTGCGCTCTGTGCTCTCTAGAGGGCGGACAAGGGCTTTGGGCTGACCCGAGGAGAGATCTCGCGAGACTGTCAGACGTGTGGCGTGAGGCGTGGGAGGAAGGTTGTGCTCTCGCGAGAACTCTTCCTTTCGGCCCTTTACTTGTTCGGGCCGGTCTCTCGCCGAGGAAGCTTCCACTCCGGTCGCCGGGCGCTGCGCTTGGAGCTGGTAAGAACCACAGTGGCCCTTCGGGCCGGCGCGACTCCTCCAGCCCTCACACTGCGGGCTGTTCCAGGGCGCCATGACCGCTTGCCCACCGGGCCTGGGCCTGCCTTTCCCGACCAGCCTTTCCCTCGACCCGTCCTGTCCGGGGGTCACCTTTTCTTGACCGTCGGCCGGCCGGAGGCTGCGCTCTCCCCGGGCCTCAACACTCTGCCCGGGGGCCACCACCTTCTTTCTGCCCGCCTTCTCTTGGCCCCGGGAGTGACAGCTGCAAGGTTTTGCTTGCTCTCGCCAGGGTCTCATGGGGGCAGAGAGACTCCCGTTTCTCCAGAATGGGCCCGGAGGCATATCCATTCCTACACTGCTGGGTGGAAACGCGAGGAAGATCATGTTTTTTTCAGCCCTCTGAGTGCCAGCACATCTCATGTAATACTCACAGCCCGAGAGGCATCTTGATCCTCTCCTTTTTACAGATGAGAAGAGCAAGTTTTGCTCATTCCTTGATTCATTCCACCAGCAATCATTTATTCATTGCCTAGGTGTTCAGGGGGTTAAGGCTATAGCAATGAAAACAAAGGGGCACAGCGCTTATTTTCGTGAAACTAAATTCCTGTGGCGGGGCAACAATGATATAAAACAGCGTTAAGTGCCATGTGATACAACAAGGGATAATGCGATCAAGAATGACAGCAGTCAGAGCGCTCGAGTCTGTCAGGTCACAAAAGCAGAGCTTTTTTCACAGCAGCATTTTTCGGTATTTTCTAATCAGTGTAAGGTTCACCGTAGCGTAACTGTCTTTGGACAGATTTAGCTTTCCACCACCTATCTGGTAATTTGGAAATGTGGTTGTAAGGTCTCTTGAATAACTTCCTGGGGTGAGGGTGAGACGGGTGATCATAGTTGGCTCATTTCTGCACTGGGGTCCTAGCATGCTATTTCTGAACTTTAAAGACTATCAGACTCTTTGAGGAAGACTTAACAGATGGTACAGTGGAAGTGGGAGGTGGTGCGTGTATCTTGTGGCTTAGGGAAGTTAACTTGGGTTGCTCTTTGGGATGTTTGCTAGCTTGTCCAGTTGTTAAGATAAATAAATGAGATAATATATGTAAGGTCTAGCCCCGTAATATCCCTCACATTTTATTTCTCCTTTCCCCCTTTTTATGAGACTTTTGTCTTTGAGTCCCTAGGGAAAATCATAGGGGTCTAAAGTTTTACGGTATTTTGCGTTTTTAATGTTTGTTTATTTTTGAGAGACAGAGCATGAGTGGGGGAGGGGCAGAGAGAGAGGGGGGCACAGAATGCGAAGCAGGCTCCAGGCTCTGAGCTGTCAGCACAGAACCCCATGTGGGGCACCAACCCACAAACCATGAGATCATGACCTGAGCCCAAGTCGGAGGCTTAACCGCCTGAGCCATCGGAGCAGCCCTATGGTATTTTGTGTTTAAAAGATTTTTAATGTTTATTTTCGAGAGACAGAGACGTGGCACGAGTGGGAGAGGGGCAGAGAGAGAGAGGGAGACACAGAATCTGAAGAAGGTTCCAGACTCTGAGCTGTCAGCACAGAGCCTGGCCCCTGAGCCATGGGATCATGACCTGAGCCTAAGTCCAACGCTCAGCCAACTGAGCCACCCAGGTGCTCCTGGTATCTTGTGTTTAAATAAACCTCTGTTATTACATTATCACGGTTGGTCAAACAGGTATTTCAAAAGTGGAAAAGCATGGTGAGCTATGTAAGGGAAGGAAAATGTGATTCTCTGGGGGTGGGTGGGGGGGGGGGGGAGGCGGGCGATCTTATTTTAGAATTAGGTAGGACTTCCCACTCCACCCCATTTTATTAAATGGCTTAGTTGTACCAGAATCTCAGGAACTTGTGTAGGGGCTTCAGAAAACCGTGCAGGATATTCTGACACATCCCTACCCCCATTCAAAAGCCTCTTGGCTAATGTTTTATAATAATTCCCCTCCTAGAGTAAGGGAAGCGTTACCATACTGGAGAACATTCAGAGCCAGTCATTGCCGCTGCTGATGGGTTTTTAACTCTCTCTTATTTCAAATAATTAGTATTTTCTGCTGAGTTTTTGGTGACTCAGTGGCACAATTCTCCTCTAGATAGCAAGTTCACCGTTGTGGCTTCAGGGACTATCATAAGTATAGTCAGCTTAAGCACACAGTAAATATTTGTTGAATGAATACATAAAATCTCAATGCCTAAATGACCCCTTTAACATACATTGTGTGGCTAAGGAGTTATGACTCAGACCTGGGATTAAAGATTAAGTCTTGGTTCCTCCACTTGGAAGCTTGTGATTGTAGGTAATA